ACTAAACAGCTCGCAGCAGTTAATACAGGAGCTTAGATAGAAAATTAGTAGAAACCCACTCAATACATGTGGATACCACATGACATGCTAGAGGAAAACGTGTGTCAACCGACCAAGGCTGGAGAACTCATGGCGTGAGTTTGTAGAAAGAGAACAGTGGTGGGTGGGAAAGTAAGCTGTCAAGATTGGAAACAAGGTTTATAGGTAAAGTGCTTTTAACATGGACCTGAAGTGAAAGAAAACTATTCAAAGACACTGAAGAGACAAAATTCCACAGGCGTGGCAATCTTTTTTAAATGTCTGTGTGAGTGCAGGGGGAGCAGTGGTGGTGGTGGATCAGACGAAAGGAGAGCACATGAAGAAATATGCTGAGGGCTGTATAATGCAGTGGCAATGAATCTAGCTCTATTCTCTGCAGATATTCATTTAGAAAAAATAACTAGCACAAGCATGTGCTGGATCTGGGAAGAGGAGATGGAAGCAAGAGGATTAAGTCATGAGTTTGTTTACCTATTCATGCAAGAGATGAGAAGAGCTAAAAGTATGGTCTTGCCAGGAGAGAGAATAAAGGGGATCACAAAGTTGGGAGATACATAACTTGATGCCTAACTGGACACTGGGTTCTGAAAGAGAAGGAGAAGCTTCAAATGACTCAAGTTTAAGTCAATGTAACTGAATGGTGCTTCGTGTGTTCTATTTGTTGAGACAAGGAACAATGGCAACAACAACAACAAGGCAATGGAGGAGATGTTGAGTTCAGTTATAAACAAAGTGAGGTGTAGGCAAAATAACCAAGTGAAAATTTTGTTGGACACTTAGAAACACAGTGACACAACTGTGAAGATTTTATTTATGAACATTAATTTTCTTGATACATAAGAAAAATAAATTATTCCCTGTGATTTATGTCTTTTTTTGTTTGTTTTTAATTATATAACTACTTTTAATTACTAGTCATGGCTTCCCGAAAAGAACACTTAGCTATTTTCTAATTACCTAATGAAATGCATGTCCCATTTGCCATCATTTTCATTGGCAAATAAAAAAGGAATTTAGTGGCTAATAATATGCTATGTCAAAAACAAATAATTATAATGTTGCCCCAGTATTTTAAAATGCAGTCATTTTTTGTTGTTGTTTTTAACAGTGTGGGTTGAGTGGTTTAGTTTTTGCCAAAGAAAGATTTTTTTTTATTATTATGAGAGATGGTGAACATGGTCAAATATTGTGTAGGGGTCAGTGTAATATGAAGCAAGAAAACCATCCCCTGGTTTTGGCAACAAACATGTTAGTGGTCACTTCCACACAGAAATTTTAGGAGAAAAGATGATTCCACAGAGTGTCCTCCTGTATGCTCAACTTTAAGTTAATCTATCCCTTCTTTATTCCCTCAAAGCTCAGGGGCATTTTGTTCTTGCTCATAATTAAGCCAATTCCCTCCACCTGTAGTGCTATCTCAATTTTTCTCATCTCTAGGACAGTTATCTCCTCATGAGTATCTCCCTCTGGATTTCTTGCTCCTCCTCTCTCTGGAATAATCTACCTGATTATCACCAATATGAGCACAACAAACATATTTCGCTGATTCTACCTGTCAAAATAAAATACTTTGTGTCCCTTTATCAACAAACTCCTGGAAGAAGAAGTTTATGCTGTCTCCACTTACTGATCAATCCTTTACTTAATTCCTATAAACTTTCTACTAACCACTCTACTGAAAATGCTCTCCAAAAGGTCACATAATGACAGGTTTTTGTCAATATGGCTTTTTCTCAGTCATCATGTCTCATGACCTTTCTGAGACGTTTGCACTGCTGACTTTTCCATGTTTTCTTGAAAGTGTCCCTGCTTTGGAATGCTGATACGTTGTATTTCCTGATCTTCCAGGTAACCTACTTGCCTTCTCATGACCAGTTCTTTTACTTTTCCAAGAAGCTATCCTTAATTCCCTCCTCTTTTCTCTCTACATTACTTTTTTTTGAACAACTCCTTTCCTCCTTTGCCTTTGAATTCTAAACTTCTTTTTTTTTTAATTTTTTTAATGTTTATTCATTTTTGAGAGACAGAGACAGACAGAGCATGAGCGGGAAAGGGGCAGAGAGAAGGAGACACAGAATCTGAAGCAGGCTCCAGGCTCTGAGCTGTCAGCACAGAGCCTGATGCGGGGCTTGAATTCACAAACTGCTAGATCATGACCTGAGCCACCCAGACACCCCTTGAATTCTAACTCATGTTTACAGAACCTAGTCTGAGGATCCCAAGTGTATGCTCCCAATTTCCAAGGCTCGCTTGGATATCTCTGTGTGCGGGTCCACTAGCATCCACCTACCTATGCTTCCTTTACGAACATCTACATTTGATCACCTTTACCATCCTTTCTTGCTTGAGACCTTCGTGTTTGGTATAGCTTATGTCATCAATGCCTATTCTTCTCCTGTGAAACATCTTGACAGTTACAAAAGCAGCAATAGCACAGTATAGAGAGTATGACTGTGTTTTTAAAGCATATGATTTCATGTAACTGAAAGAATATGTACTGAGATATTATCCATATTTTCAATGGGTTGTGACGTTCTGTGGTTTTTAAAAACTTAATTCCTAATAATTCCACACTGAACACTAGTCATGTCTATAAATGTGGGGAATAAACAAAATTCACTTCCTCATTGCTTCTTCTCTGTGTCAATTTCTCCCATTTTTACTGTGTAACACTTAGAGTGCTAAAAGACACTCAAGTCAAATCTCTGATTGAGCATCCTTCCCATAGGATTTCATCTCACTTGCCATTATAAGCCTTTCTTCTTCCAATTCACATTCTAAGAATTCAAACTTTTCACTTTGGCCTCCTAATCTCCCTTTCTTTATTTCCAGAAACACCCTCCTTTGACTACATACCACAGCTGCAGTCTTGCCTTCTTCTGTTCCTCATTCAGCACCTGGCATGTCCTTTTGTCCTTGGTCCTCTCCTCACTGCATCCTGCTTACGTCATGCTCAGCCTGCCCCTGAGTTAGCGCCTTGATCGAGCTACCATTTACTGAAGCCAAACCAAATGGCAAGCATCAATTCTATTTCTTTTTGACAACCCTGCTGGCCTATTATGATGATCTTTGTTCAATAGATAAAGAAGTCGAAACTCAGAAATGTTAAGTAATTTAAGTAAAGTCATATTCCCAGCAAGTGGCAAAAAGAGTCAAATTCATGTCTTTCTATTATAAAATTGGCACTGCTTCCACTGGGCTGTATAATCACCTCCCTGTCTCAGCTGCTCTTGCATATTCCTAAAATCCTAGCTTAAACCCATCATCTCCTTGAGGTTTTCACTGATTGACAAGACCACAGGGGTGACTCCTCCCTCCAGACTCCTAAAGCAGTCATCACTAATAGAGTTGTCTTCTAGCCAACGTTTGATAGTTTGTGTCTATGTCCTTAATTATACTCTCTTAGTAGAGAAACAAGGCCTTATCACTTGTTTGTAAGTTTTGCATCACCAGGCAGAATCCTGAACATAAGGCAGTGACATTTAGCATAATATATATTTTCAATAAATTGCTGATTGATTATATAAAATATGCTATTAATGCTGATTTCTCTTTCCTTTTAGGGAGTTAAAAATAAATATAACATCAAAATAGATATAAATATTTAATGTAAACTAATAATACAAAATTTATAGTGCATATTACTTTTCCCATTACAAACCAACAGTAAAATAAAGCATCAAATACAGTGTTATGCTCACAGGAAGGAGTGACGTCATGCACCTTTTATTTGATCAGCAATCTTTCACTGACACCAGTAAAAGAGCTAACAACAGTAGAGCAATTTTTATAAGTAGTTTTCCCTTTTCTGCAGATATATCTAAAGCTCAGTTATAAGTTTCGATGTTAATAATGTATCATATCTCTATTATGCATTTTTCTCACTGTGTAAAATTGGTCATTTTTTTCCCACTTATCTTCTAGAGAATGCAGACTTTCAGATTTCATAAAGTCAATCAAAAAGGCTATGTTTATGCACTAAAAAAACAATGAATTACTTTTGCTATGTTAACAGTACTTTGAAAAGAAGTGATAATACTTCAAGTTAATATTTAACATAATACATAGAAGGGGGAAACAAGAATTAGTTACATATAGGTTAAACTTTGTCAAAATGAGTATATACAAATACTTTAAGACCAATGATATGTATGCCTGTGTGTACATAGTACTTTCACTGTATGGAGAGATATAGATATAAACTTCTTTTGCATATGCAGATATAGACATATAAGTAAGTATCTTTACATAGATATGAAATATTTGGAATAGGGTTAGCTCTAGAAAGATTGTAATTACTAATTGGAATTTTTGGTTTTCTTTTTCTGCACTGTATTTAATGATGTTCCTTCTAACTTTTAACATCTCTCTTAAGAGTGTCCAGCTCTTGTCTTCCTCCCTCACAGAACCTGTTTTCAGCAATTCTATTTTCAAAGTATTCCAATTTTCAAATGAATGGTCAAGAAGGCAATGGACTCCCATTCCAAAGAATATTTGCATATTTAATCAATAGGAAAGAAAATGGCTGAATCTATTAAGCTGACCCATATAAAACTACTGTTTTGAGGTAAAAATGGTTGAATATATGTGATTTCATAAGTTTCAGTGAATATATGAATCAGTTTCAGGCATTTGATCTGGTTGAAGCCTCTGAAACATAAATTGTCCCCTTGGCACTTTGTAAACAGTGCTCAATTGCCCACTAGATGAATAAGGAGAAGCATATGCTAACAGTTCCAGCGCTTTGGTGACCTTATCCAGAAAACACAGAATCTATTTTAACTTAAGAATATCTTCAAGTTTATTGCTTATTACACTTAATATATATGGGATGGGTGCATCAATAGTTTTTCAATGTTTTGAGCATTTCAAGGCCTTACGCATCCCTGATTATAACACTAGTTTTGTTCATAACAAAACAGAACATCTATTTATATGTAAATCTTAGAAAGTGTACTTACCTGCTTTGGGTATCTTTTCCTCTTTTTTAATTTCAGGTTCTGGGGTAAAACATACACACACACACACACACAAACACACAGGTGGATAAAATAAGCATTTGAAAAAACCCATACAAATCAATTTTAATAGATTTTTATCAATTTTAATTATAGTTACACACTTTTATCAATATGCAATGAAACATGTGTTCTTAGTAAGTGATAAAGTGACTTAAACAAAAGTACTTGATTTTGAAATCTAGTTTGCTAAGTTTTATATAGAACATACTAAGTAATTTGTCTTTACTAACAGCCCATTTCTTAGGATTCATAAGTTCTCTAAGTAATATAAATAAAAAATTAATAGTAATTACTAGGAAAAAGTGTTGTAATTTTTCCTAATTTAACCAATTCAAGCCATTTATTAATTTTGACTACAAACGCTCAATTCATGGAGCGCCACCTGGTGGTTAACTTAATAATTTCAAACAGGTATAATTCCTGTTTTTATTAGTATTTATTATTAATTTTATAAAGTAAATTAAATTGATTTATAGTGCATTAATATAAAACTTTATTAGAATGAAGTACTTTAATTTCTTATTGTCTTAGGAAATGTCTTTTGTCTAGAAACTGCATTCCAACTTAATATCATTGTAGGATAAACACATAGTTTTAGAAAGTATCCAAATAATGTTCATGATACATTGCCAATCAAGGTAATGGTTGACTATATTTTAATGTTTTCCAGTTCTTCCTCTTGTTTAAACAATTTTGCTTAGGCTGTATACTTCTTTCCTGGCAAAAAGTCTTGTTTTGATTAATGGAAGGGCCCTGCTACGTTATGATTTTTCCTTCCTTCAAACAGCAGAAAAACTGACCTCCTCATTGGGATACGTTTTGAGAACAGACTGTGTTATCTGAGATAGTGCTCTCTGGCTTTATTTGAGTGGTAGCCTAATAGAGTCTCATTTTCTGGAGTTACAAAACAAACAAACAAACAAACAAAACCCACAAAAAACAAAACAAAAAAAAACCCACCTCATTTGTTTAACAGCAGAATTTTATATAGTAGAGAATTACATAACCATTCACACCCTACTTCCTATAATACTTGAATGCATATCCTGTAAAAAGTGATATCACTGCTCTTATCGCACTTCAACACTCCCTACCACATATTCCTCTCTTTTTATTTCACACATTCACTAAACTGGGTAGGGCACATGCTATTCTGTTGCTTTCCATGTGCTCTAATGTTATATAACAATTTTTATACAATTTTAATTTAATTTTTATTTATTGTCTATGTCCCCATCTTAGATTTTAATTTCCACAAGAGCAGTAACTATGTCTTGTGCACTATTCAAATATCAACATTTATTTACATATCTGACATGTGGCATATGATCAATAAATACTGTGGAATGAGTGGATAAATGAACAAAACGGTGACTACAGAAGGACCGAATGCTCCCTCTTGCGTATCTAAAGTCCTAGAAGAAATTCATTTATCTCACGCTTCCAGAGCTAGAAATAAAATTTCAGTGTCCCAGGATGGGTTTCGTAAACATGTTACTCATCAGGTAGAGCAATCTATTTGAAAGCGCCTTACTTCTTACTACACATGGCTCTCTCCCCCTCAATTACATTGTTATTGTAATCTTGACATGGGATTATCTTAGTCTTAATGTGTGTCGAGAGATCTTCTGAGAAACATAAAAGTTGTTGAGAATGTTTTTTTTTCCAACGTTTATTTATTTTGGGGACAGAAAGAGACAGAGCATGAACGGGCGAGGGGCAGAGAGAGAGGGAGACACAGAATCGGAAACAGGCTCCAGGCTCTGAGCCATCAGCCCAGAGCCCGACGCGGGGCTCGAACTCACGGACCGCGAGATCGTGACCTGGCTGAAGTCGGACGCTTAACCGACTGCGCCACCCAGGCGCCCCTGTTGAGAATATTTTTATCAGTACGTTATGATTTTTATGAGTACAATACAACCAGAATCAACTTCTATCTTGTACACAGAATTTTACAAGCTCTCTTATGAACATGCACTATCCAACATGCGTGTGCCCATGGACCCTCACACTATATACAAATACTGACTTTTGGTATTGTGTAAAAACACTTACAACATGACCTCACAAGTTACGAGTTCATGGGAAGTGTAAAAAGGAGGATTTGAATCATACAATATGGCTTTAAGAGCAAGTTCACTTGCTCAAGTTTTGTGACCTTGGGCATTACTTAAAACCTTAAATCTCAAATTTGTCATTCCTAAAATGGAGAAAATAATGTTGTAAAATTAATGAGAATTATAAGTGATGTATGGAAAGCACTTTATTATTTTAAATTGTACTCATAAACTTAAATTGCATAGTGATTTTCATTTTTTCTTACAGAATTGGGCTTTTACCCTTGAAGATGCAAAGCAGGAGTTGATATGTGAGATTATTGTTAAAGGATTTTCTAAGGTGAGCATCTCCTTTATTAGGCTACTTGCTAATTCAGAGCTCAGTGCCTTCATTTTGAAAATAGCATTACTACTGAAGGTTAAGTCTTTAATTTTTGAGTCACAAATGGATGCCTGTTCCTAGTCATATAAAAATGACAAATGTATATATATGTATATCTATGTATATGTATATATATCTATATATGTATATCTATCTATATATGCATGTGTGTGTATATATATATATATGTTAAGGAATATATGTATTTATATTTAAGTTTAGTCCAACGGCTTCATTGAGAAACTTCAAGAAACTAAGGACAACGGTTAATGCTGGAGATTGGGACCTGGAGGCCAGAATAGGAATTGTTATTTTCATCCAATTTTTACGGTTTGAAATTTTTTTTTTACCACTGATTATTATCATATAATAATAAAATATCTGATTTGCATAAACATTTGTCACTTGAGCCCTTCATTTTGGGCTCCACATGCAAGCGTTGCAGAAACATGGAATCAAGAAATCCCCACGCTGAGTTGTTGAGACAGACAGCCTGTCATTTCATATGCAGCACTGACTTTTCCAGGCTGTTGATTTCATTTATGAAATGTAAATTGCTGATGGGCCTGGGGAAGGGAGCTTCATTAATGATTTTTCAATGTCATCAACACTATGTTCTCAAGTAAAACGGGCCGACCAAACTTCATCATGCTTGTGCTTGAGTCAGAGAAGGGCAGCCATGGAGACCAACTCTGTTTAGGAGTCTCTGTTTTGTTTTCATGAAATTAAAAGAAATCTATACAATATATAAATTCCAAGAATCGACATTATTTTAAGAATGCCTCTCTTTTAGATAGTTTGTAAGGAGAAGGTGACTATCACTGACTTTTCTTTTTTCACTTTATTTTGTTATCATTTTCACATTTGCTTGTTAGTACATAGTGGCCTGATACGTACAAATAACAACCATAATCAGATTTGTCAACCAATGATATTTTCCTCATGGCACTCACTAAATAAGTGTATTTTATGCATTATTTATATTGTATTTATGTAATATGAAATATTTGTGTTTATTTGATCTGTAACCCCAGTAGCGTATAAACGTCATGAGTCCTGAGATGAGTTATTATTTCCTCTGCTGAATCATAGCACATAGATCAGTGTTTTGTGCAGAATAAGGATCAAAATATTTGTTGCAAAAATGAAGAAATTATCTTATATAATCCTCACATGCCTCTTCTACGAGATACATACTACTATTACACCCACTTTACAGATAACAATACTAAGGCTCCATAATTTGTCTAAGTTCATTTTCCCTAATAAGTGACAAAACTGGTCTTTGAATACTGTTTTTTATGACCACCTTCAAAACCTTAAGCACTTATAATGAAAACAGCTATAATTACTGTTGCTACAGAAAGAATAAAAACTTTTAAACATTTCATACATAAAAACATTATAGTAAGCCACATTCCGTATCTTACAGGTAGGTTGCTATTTACCTAGGGTATTTTATGTAAACAAAAACAATTATTAACAGTTTTTATTATTTAGTTGACATAAACAATTTAGCCACTAAAGTGGCTAAACAATTTAGCCACTAAAGTTTCTATTTTTTTCAACCACCATATTGAACATGATTCAATATCATGTTGTATAAATTAGCTTCCTAAATTAGGCTGGTCAAACTAAATAAATAGATTGAGCATTGATAAAAAATTGATAGCTGTCTGATACACTCCTGTGGTTGTATTCCATATTTAATGGCACTGGAAGGTTTTACATTTAAAAGCAGGTCACCAAGTCCATTTTTGTAAAATATACAGAAGAACTTCAGCAGTCAGTTGTTTGTGAGTTTTGGTCTGAGGGAGTCTGGAAACCTGGTGGCTAAGGACACAACTCATACTGCCAGTGGGTGTCCCAGATCCAACCCAGGTGTCTATGTGACCTGAGCAAGTCACTTTCAGTGCTTCAATGTTCACATTAATAAAAAAGGATGCTGTAAGGGGACCTAGTGGCTCAGTCATTTGAGCATCTGACTTCGGCTCAGGTCGTGATCTCATGGTTCATGATTTTGAGCCCACATCGGGCTTGAGGCCATCAGCACAGAGCCCTTTTGGGATCAACTGTCCCCCCCACACTCCCTTTCTCTGTCTCTCCCTTACTCGTCCACTCTCTCTCTGCCTCTCAAAAATAAATAAACATTTAAAAAAAAGGATGCTGTAAAAATTAAACTGAACACTACATGTGAGGCGTTTAGAACAGAATCAGATACAATGCAAGTAGCGCACATTATTCTCTTGATACTTTAAACTATGTTTCTTATATTTTTCTACCATACTGCTAAATAAAATATATTTTAAATATATATTTTTAAATAAGACAATTAAAATTTTGTGTATTTAATAGAAGTTAGTGTTCATAAATTTCTTCTAAACCCATGTTTTTTATATCATTTGAGTAATCATTTGCAATTTCTAATGAAAATCTGCCACTAGTGTGCACACATACACATTTACAGGACTGTACTATGGCTCTCATTATATTACTTAAAACCAGGGCACCTGGGTGGCTCTGTCAGTTAAACATTTGAC